CCGCCCGCCGTACTCGTTCCGCATGGACATTCTATGGCCGTCCGGAACATGCATGAAAGTAACAAAAAATTGTAATCATCGCATGATATAAATGTAATACTTTATTTAATGTACGTATATTTGTCTCCATACATATAATAAATATTCTGTAAAGTTACGATAAATCGATTACCGCACGTCGTGACGATCACGAAAGTCTATCTGGGTAGATAGATAGATAGATAGTTTATTTACGCTCTGGGATTAAACCCCTTAAACTACAAAAAAAGAATAAATGGCTATATAATAATATCATAATATAACAATGCAAGAACAAGGTACAAAGTGATCGCATTGTAAAGAAATAAGAATATTGGAAAGAGTTGTCTAACGCACGGAGAAAGCAAAGTCATGGCACGCAATAATGATCACAACATAACAAAGCAAACGGCATAGCAAACGGAATACATGCTCCACGCAAAGTACACCTTAACCCTTGTGTGCGCACCCGGTTACCCGGGTGCCCACCACTGCTCATTTTTGCATGTAAGTGGATTAAAAATGAAAATTTCGCTTTGTACGCCCAGATCGTCGTTATTTAAGCAAATGATGCATTTGGAGATTTTTAAGAATTTTTTAAAGCATAAATAATCTAGTTTAAAGTATACATATGCCGCGGACGCACCCGGTTACCTGGGTACCCACCATAGAAAAATTCAATTTTGAGTGAACTATTAGCTTTTTTTATTAATTTATTTGATTTATGCATGTGAAATGAGTTGCGTAATAAGAAAATACATGAAAATTTATTTAAAAAACAAAAAAAACATTTATTTATTGCATTCTATGCACTTGGCAAAAGTTATCGCATGTTCATCGCAAATAGGCCTATCACATTCGGAGCAGGCCTTTCGTGTTTTCCTTCTCTTCTTAATTGTTTGTTTGTAACAAATATGGCAGGAACCGATAACTTTCTTCCTTCCTGATGCATCTCGTTGAACTGACGGATCTGGATCAGCCTCTACTGGATTTACTGGCCGACCGATTACACTTTCAATAGCGATCTTGGTGCTATAATTT